CCATAGGGGCTATATTTAACATTTTCAGGAAACTTGATTGGTTTCATGAAAATTTAAAAGAGATTCAAGAATCTTTTAATAAAATACCAGGCCAGAAATGGGTGTACAGGGTTATGTGAGTCTGGAAGCAAATAATTTTATTTCAGTATTGTATAAAGTTAATCACAACAATAGGAAATTAACAGAAAAAAACAAGGATGTGGACCTATCGTTGATATTTTGGAGAGAGGGCATGTCCCTGTGTGGATGAAAACATGGTATGTAGATGTATGTGCACACTGCATGCATAATTCCAAAGCCAAATAAGACGATTTTCACATTACTTGCTATTTAAAATCATGAATGCCATTATTTCCCTTCATTATTCTGCCTAATTGCAAGTTGGCGGTACTAGGAAATGGACTATAGTTAATTTAACAGTCAACTAGTGACCAAACTGAAGTTGCAAAGGGCAGATTGTTGGCATTAATTAGAGACTTTTGTTTGGCTTTTAGATTCTTATCTATTTGACCTTGCGTCTTCTATAATCTGGCTGGAGGTTTTCTGGGTCACAAGGGCTTTGGAGCCCCAGGACTTTAGAACTCTGCAATTGCCTGATTTTGCTGAAAGATGAACTAGCAGTAGGATGATAATGTGAAGAATTCCCATCTTTGCCCTCAGGTTTTCTCAGACAGACCCTGGGTAGAAAGGAAAGGTCTCATTTATTTCTATCACCCTTAAAAAACATCTCTCAGTTTAAACTCTTTCATAGGAGACACAGTCAGAATTTGAACACATTCTCTGAGTGTAGAGGTCCCATGTTTACCCCCTACACTCTCTTCCTGAATGAATAACTGATGCTGGTTTAACGACATGTGCTAGGCGCTTGCTAAGAGGTCATGCACTGATGTTTTTCAACTCTTGTAACTATTTTGGATTTAGAATGTATTGTTGTACAAATAACCCCCCCCCCCAAAAAAAAAAAAGTAATGACCCAAGCAGAGTAGAAGTCTAGCAAAAACATGCCTCCGTTCCATATAGTCATCCAGGGATTCAGGTTAGCAGTGTGATTCCTCAACACATGACTTCTATGATTGTTGTGATTCCCATTTGTAGGCAGGGGGAAAGGGAAAGAGGATATGGGGAGTGGATCTCCAGTATCCAGATGTCCTGTTCTAGAAGTTATACACCCAATTTCCAGTCATGTTTCCTTACAGATAGTTTAGTCATTGTTGCATCTGGCTATGTGCAAGACAAGGAAATACAGTCTAGCAGAGCAGCCATGAGCTCAGTTATTATTCTATTACTGTAGAAAAGGGGGAAATTTTCAGCAATGTTAAAGGTATTTTATTTTCAGTTGTTCAGATTCCCATGAAATCTTAAACTCATCAGGTCTCTGGGCAACTTGCAGTCTCTACCTGTTATCATCTATATTTTTCTAATGAGGCAAGTTCGATTTAGCAAGTTCAAATAACTAGTGCAAGTGTCATGTACTCAGTAAGAAGAGGCAATGAGATTCAAACCCAAGTGATTTGAGGCTAAAAGTTGAGCATTTAAATACCATTTATACTGACTCACTGAATAATTAGTTCATTGGCAGTCGTTTTTCTCTAAATGGATATCTGCTGTGGGATTCTACTTAACTCTGCTGGAAGAGTGGGGTAATTAGGAATTTTCTGTGCTGGGAACAGTGGAGATGAGTCCTGGAGTTCTATATTGTCTGAGTTCAGGAGGCTACAAGCCACAGGGATTATCATGCCCTTGGAAGTGAGGTTTCTGTGGTACAGGTAAAAACCCCAGGATTTTCATGGTTATAGGATATTAAATGACAAAAGAAGGTATTATTCTAAGTCATCTCTAATTAGGTGCTTTGGTTTAACAAACCTTGTCAAGGATATTTTGAGACAAAGCTTTAAAAAAAATCTTACCTCTTTAAGTAAAACTTCCCATTAATTCTTTGATGAAAGGTGTTCTGAGCATGTGGGACCATGGTCCATTGGCTCAACTATGTAACCCATAATATGACATGCAAATAGGTATTTTACCTGCATTTCTATTCAAAGACATTGGGCAGGGTAGGAGTTTGGCATTATAGACCAAGAATCAGGAAAAAATTTTATGAAAGGTCACTGTTAACTTTATTTAATTAAATGAATGCTATTAATTAATTTTGTAGCCTCAAAAGTGAGTGCTAATTTTTATAATCCAATATGCACATGATCATACTCATCAACCCCATTCATTCTAGCAGGGGCTGCTCTTCTCAATATATCTCAGAGATCTGGAACATTTCTCAGTGTGAACACTTATGCAAACTATTAATTCCATCTGTAAAATGGGGACGTGGATGCTTTTTACTTACTGATTTTGTTGTGAAAATTAAATGAGATAGTTCATGTAATAACATTAGCACCTAGGAAGTAGTGAATAAAAAGTATTCAGGATTATGACAACTGTGCATAATTCATCTTAATGGCTGATAGAGGTGAGAGCATGGATAACTAAGTCTGTCAGATTATGAAAGTACAGTGCTGTTGGGTATGGGCTTATCCACACTTAACACATTCATTCATAGTATGAATCCAGAACTTTGATAGAGCTGGCTCTCAAAATCTTGTGAACTAAAGATTCAGTTAAAGTTCTTCTAATTCTTCCTAGGCAAAAGTAACCAGTCTCCTCCCCCCAAGACTTTTGCTCTTTATTCATATGTATATCTTTGTACTTCTCTGCTGTGTCACAGGTATCTGCCAGTTCAGACTATTTGCAAACTCAGTCGGTGACCATGCGACATGTGGAATCCTCCAGGTTAGGGACTGTATTTTCTGGCTCCTGGCATGGTGCCTGAAATAAAGCAGGATCTCCATAAACATTTCTTTAACAAGGGGCTGAATAGCCTGATGAAGGTTTCTGGAACATTAGGAGTCTGGAAATACCCTGTGTTGTGTTCTTCTGGTTTGTTGGTAATCAAGCCATTTCACACTCAGTTTCTTCATTTAAGAAACATCCCTTCCAGTGTGCTTCCCTTACAGAGATGCTGTGATAATTAATGAGACTCCTTGGAAAGGAACGATATGCTCTATCCCTTTGAAGTTTGGTTTTACAAGACGATCTTTAAATACGAGGCTGTAAAAATCCTGTTCTCCTTCCTGCCCCTTTCTTCTGCAAACCCAAAGGTCCAGGAGAGATTATCGGCCTCTGAAACTCCCATTTGCTAAATGCCAGTGTCCCCTGTAGTATAACCTGCAGTGCACTCAGCCTGGTCAATCCAAGCCCTTAGGGCTGCCCTTTTCACAAGTCCATTTGTGAGCATTCAGACTAGTGGAAGCCTCAGACAGCCCGAGAGCAGTCAGCAAACAGACCAGGGAAAGCAGTGGGTGTTCACAGAGGCACATTAGCATCTGCATTCTTTTCAAAGTTACCCGCTTCTTCACTAAAGAACCACTCATGAAGGCTTGCCAGGGGAGCTAGGAGTTGGTCTTCCACAGTGGCCTAGTATGTATGCAGACAGGTGAGTTATTACATCATAGCAGAGTGCCATAAGTCAGATAGAAAGCGGTGTGTGTGGGGGCATGACAGGTCAAGAGGTAGCTCAAGGATAAGATGAACAATGGGGTACAGTTGAGAGGATGGGAAACTGTGTCAGACATGGAGACAGTACCTGGGCCATGGGTGAGGGATGAAGAGGATGCATTAGCTTTGTAAACTTGGATTTAACCTCACTGAGCTTCCATTTTCTCATCTGTAAAATGGATACAAGAATTTATTCTAGGAATCTTCCATTTCTTCATCTGTAAATAGGTATAACATAATGACATGGAGGTTAATGAAACAAATAAGTCAAACTATCTTCTAAATTATAAAAGGCTTTGTAAGTATCCATTGTTATTTGTATCTCTTAATTGTTTTCCATAAGCTAAGCAGGGAAGACACAGTGTTTAAGAGCAGCAAAGACTGAGTTGACTTTGGTGTTACCAACATTATGATCTTAGCTTGTCTTTGTTTTGAAGAGTCCTTTACGAGGTGAGGATAGGGTGTTGTAGTGGGGAGTGGAAAGAAGGCAGGGAAGTCTTTGCATGCTGACAGCAACTATCAGTTTGCAAGAGTCCCAATGGAAATGCAAAACAGAGATTTAGGTTTTAGGAAACTTCTAGTATCCATAACCTAATTTGGAGAGGAGCAAGATCTTTTCCTGTAGGCTTGCAAGGGCATTCCCTTGCCTAAGTCAAACTTCCATAAACCGTTCATCTCTGAAATGATCATAAATTCAGGAATGTTACTCATCCTTACTCTGTAATTTCCTGATCACTTTATCTTCAAATATTCCCTCAATTCTAGCCCCCTTTTGCCTTGACTTTCTCCATTATCCATTAATCATTCTTATGTCCACAGTCTCACTGCTCTGCCCTTTGTTTTTTCAAAGAACTTGCTCTTCAACACCCAGCCTGAATCCGCCTAGGCTAAAACTCAATCTTTTAAGGGTCTTTAGAAAAAGTCATGCAAAATGTGAGAATAGCACTGCTCCAAATTCTGGGTTTACAACTTTAACTGCTACCTGATGTTCTTCTCTAATGGGACAATATTTAAAACTATCCCTGGATGTGTTTTTCCTTCTAGGTATTCCTGCTGATTCCCTCTGAAGCCAAGGGCATCTCTTTGTGCAAGTGGAAGACAGTAGTAATTGGCCAATAACAAAGGAGTCATTATTGAGCTTTGGTCTTCCAAAATGGGCTCCTGAAACTCATTTCAGGAAAATAGATGTGAAAGTCCAGTTTTTTACTTGCAAGATCCAGTCTTTGTTGAGAGAAGAAATTATTTGTGAATTCTAAGGAAACAAAATAGAGAACAAGAGCATTGTTTATAGAGATAACCATAGAGTGAGGGGGACAGGTGATGTACTATGTTGTGTGGTGGTTTCCTGTCAAACCAGAGGGCAAGGCAAAGCAAAACAAATGAAACAGAAACTTCCTGGGCTTAGGGAGTGGGGGCAGGGGTGGGGCACGGGGGAGGATGGAGGATGGAGATCTCCTGGGGACATCTGGTAACCCTGGGGCTGAATCTGTATAGTTCTTCTCAACTGGGACTCTGAAAGAGGACTGTTCCTTCGTATGAGGCAGGGAGTGATGGCAGTCATGAAAATGCCACAGGTAGGTAGAGGAAAGCCCTGCCATAGACTGGGTCCTTCCTATTCCCTCCACAGGGCATGCAAAATGTTGAGATGCCCTCGCTGGGAAGATGAAGTACAGAGGGATCATGGAGCTGAGATGTGAAGGACACTCTTTTCCAACAACTCCTGCCTCCCTGTGGGGACTCTTCCTCTTTCTGTTCCTCCAGTACTGATGCTTTCTCCAAGCCACCTTCTCCTGGCCTTACACTGAATTCATATCTTACACAGATCATGCTCAGGTTTGTATCTCTGGGTCTAAAGAACAGATCCTGTTTCTTAGTCTTACTTCTGGAGACTGGCTCATAATTGAATCTCAGAATATGTTTCTCAGTAGAACAATCTATCTTTTGTGCCTCTGCACTGAGTTGAAATTTTGCAGCATCTTTGCCACAGAAAGATAACATAGTGTCAAGTGGAGCATGGTGGGCACATCTGTGATCTCAGCCACTTGGGAGGCTGAGGCAGGAAAATTGTAGATTCAAGGATAGCCTGGGCAACTTTGACCCCGACTCAAAAAAAAAAAAAGTGTGTGTGTGTGTGTGTGTGTGATCTTTCTGTTCAGCAAATGTTGTAAGATACTTCTTACTGGAATCTTAGTGATTTTATTTGAATATTGTTGACCCATAGAATATTGTTTCAAGGGTACCAGAGGGAGGGAAGAGGGAAAGGGAAGGGGAGATACTGCGGAATGAAATTGACCAAATTATGTTGTATTCACGTACAAATATGTAAGGATGAATCCCACTTTTATATACAATTACAATTCATCAATAAAACTTTTAAAAAGAATATTAAGTTTCATATTTTAGATAATAACTAGTATCTTTATCACTCAGCAGAAGAAGTTTAGGAATAAATAGCCCAATATTTTGAAGTAGTATAATAAGGGTCAGTTGGCTTAAAGTCTCCACCCTGTTCTAGCTGGTTTCTCAGTCCCTGTAGGTCATTTATGGAAATCTCTAGAGGAATGCATTTCTTGTGTCCACAAATCAGGCTGTCAGATATTGCCACCACATGGCATTTACTCCAGTCTTTTCTAGCTTTGGTTCCCAACTATCCATATCTATTAACCACAAAGCCACTTGAAGAATGTTGCTCTTGCCACTGCCCGTGATGTAAGCAGCAGTGTCCATGACAAAAGCCATGAAAGCTTCCATCTTTGGGACATCAAAATAATACTAGTTCCCAGCAAAGGACAATTTTCTTCATAATTCTGGGCCATAATATATCACTAGGCTCCTAAATCTATGGTCTCATACTTGTTTAAGCTTTTGGCTGACCCCCTTCATGAAAAAATGACCTCTTGGAAAAGATATAAGAACTAATCTACACCAGCCCCTTCAAACTTCTTCTGGCCCTCACCAAAACTCCTTCTCCAGCTCTCAAACAAGGGCAGCAACCACACACACACATACACACACACACATACACACACTCACACACCCAATATTAATAGAAGCAGAAAGATAAGCTTAATGGGCGAGGGAAGAGAACAAAGAAGTAAGGGTATCTCAATCACAGAATATTTAGGTACTGGTTCTTTCTCTTCAAAATGCTTTGCTTCAAAATATTTTGAATGTAACAATATAGAACCATGATTTCTAGAAAAGGATTTTATTCCTTCCCTAGTAAACATGGGGAAGGTGGGAGCTGAAATAGTAAAAAAAGAAACAGGTTAAGAAATGTTATCTTAGAAGACGCTCTCGGCCTGCAGCCACACACAAGGACGCCTGGGTGCTTTCCATGAGGATCGACCTGCAGAACTTCCCTGCTCTGATTGTACCTTGTGCCTTGTCCTCTCAAGACAGAAAGATAGACCTCCCATAGGCAGCCAGCAAAAGATTCTTGGAGAAGAAAAGGAGGAAGAGAGAATTGGAAAATCAAACTTCAAGCCCCAACTATTCCTAGCCACAAGGACAGTTCCTTAACATCCTCTAGATACAACCAACCCGGAAAGGTACTTCCTCTAGGGCCAACAGACACTCACTCACACACTTGTGCTGATTCGAGCTTAGAAATCACTTTTCTCCAGGCAAAATAGAGTGGATTCACCCTTTCTAGCAAAATAGAGTGGATTCACCCTTTCTAAATCCTATCTCCCACCCATCACCTATAGGAACAGATCAAGCCCTTAAAACCCCTGGACAATAGACATCCATTGACATCCCTCTCTTGATACCTCTCCCTCTTCGGGAGCTCTGCTTTCTTTCTATTATTCTAATACATCCTGATGCTTTGCTCTCACCCTTGTGTCCGTGGACTTCATTCTTCAAATTTGCAAGACAAAGAACCTACCCACCCACCCTCTGCTTCATACTCTTGCTTTGCCACTGGCTTCACCATTTATTCTCCCAGCAGATGTCATCTGCTGTATCCCTCAGACTTAATACATCCTATTTGTCTGCTGGATGGAGATTTGGCCATGTTTATTCCACGCCTGCCACTTCTCTTATGCTGGAGACAGGTCTCTGCTATCGGGGCCCAAACTCCAAGCACCTGAACCAGACAGGGTCCCCACCGGCTAGCCTCCTCAAGTATCCCTTCCTGGGATCCAGTAAATCCTGGCTTTGTGCTGAGGATCAGGAAAAGTCTTTCTAATTAGAATTTTAAAGTTTGGTGTTTAAAAGAATATGGCATTCTAGAGATGGATGGTGATAATGTTTACACAACACCAAACTGTACACTTTAAAGTGGTTCAAATTATATATATGTACACATATAAATTAAAAAGATAAGATGTAATTATCTATATAATGACACATGATTAAAATGGGTTAATTCCTTCAATTCAGGAAGTCTAAAATGAAAATTGTAGACATTACCTACTTTCAAATATTGTTTGTCTTTGTCCACTTACATAGTAAGGAAAGAAAGAGAAATAGAAAAAAATTAGAAGAGAAAGAAATTAAAAAGTTGTACAATTCTTCAAAAATATTAACGAATTAGGTCAAATTTGCACAAAGTACTTTTGCAGTATACACTTGGATTTGTGTAGCCAGTTTCTATTTTTATCATTATGAATTTAAGTATTTCTTGCCCTGATGGTCTGTTGCTTCTCAAAAGAGAGAAAAGTTGTAGAAACAAAATAAGGCTTTGTATATCATCCATGAGGGATAATTTGTTTTTTGAAAAAGTTTCAAGGAAGTTGGGAATCTTAAAACTATGTTTCATATAAAGTTTTCTTCCATCACTGAGATCCTACTTTTTGCAAATAAAATGTAATTCTTATTAATGTTCATGAATCTATGAGAAAACGAGAATTTCAGATCATTTAGAAAACTCAGAGTCCACATAATTCTCAGTTTATTCAAAGGCCTTGTTTCCAGTGGGCCAAATACAAATTCTTCATTTACCACAAACCCCAAAATGTGGGAAGAAGATAGCTGAGTCAACAGGAAATAAAGGAGACAACTCTCAAACTCTGTGTCGAGAATTAAAATGCTACTGTTCCCACACACTGACATAGACAAACCCTGGCTTTTAGGCCCTGCAGGCTGCCTAGCTGCTGCCCAGCTTGGGTAGAGCACAAAGACACCATGAAGCTCACTATTAAAGAAGTTTATTTTCAGTGAAGAAAGAGTATGAAATATTACTGAGGCACATCAAGTGCACCAACTTCTTTGAACAAAGAGCAGCACTGTTTGGTATACAATTTTGGTTTTTACAGAGATATGAATTCTAGTCAAATAAATAATAATCTCATTTATAAATAATAAATAAATAATCCAATAAATAATCTCATGTTAAAGCGATATCCAGGTCACTAGAAGTCCTCCGATGGCAGTTCATTTCTCATTCTCATGTCTGTGGGTAGGCTTATAATTATTCTTATAGTTTCAGACAACAAACTACAGAGGTTAAAGGTCAGGGAATTCTGCTTCTCCCAGGGCAAAGCAATTTGAGATCTGAACCCAGGTCTATTTTGCTCCAGGAGCTCTTCCTGGAGAATTCAGTTCCTGATCTTGGGAGTTAAATTCCATCACTGTTCAAACAGGCACTTTTCTGAATCAGATTCTTCCTATGCTGAGATCCAGCTTGATTGCATTTCAGGCAGTTTTTCAAGATGGCAGACTGCCCACTTTCTCACCATGTCTCACCGGATGTATCTTGTATTCATCCTTTGTTTATTTCCTTAACTTAATTTTAAAATTATTGCAGCCTTTCAATAACCTAATATAAACCATAATACCTCATTAGCAAAGCGTTTGACAGTGTCATCAGGAGGCGTAATGACTTCAGGAAAGGAAGAAGTAAAAAGCTAAAGAAAAATGGAATCCATGCTACATGTTATTATAGTAATGTTCTTAGTGTGAGGTGTGGGCAAAGAGAAAAATCCTACCAGGTAACTCACCAACAAGCATGTTAATAGAAAAACTCATTGGGCTTGGGTAGCCTGCCATACAGTTATACTTAAACCAATTAATAAGGAGAATGGCTTAGGAGCATTTTTCTTCAAGCCTAAGATATTTTAGATTATCAGTCAATGATACTGTGAGGTTCTTGGTTCTGCAAAACTCTAAACCCTGAAAATCTTGGGTTAGAAACTACATATATGAGATTTGTTAGACTCTTAATTTTCATCTCTTCATTTCACATTTATTTAGCTCCTACAAAATGCAATGTGGATTTATATGGCTTTGGACATTCCCAAGAGTGGTTGGTTATTAAAAATTATTTTGAAAGGAATCTATGATCATCTATTCTACTCCTGTGATCCTTTCAAATATTGGCAAAAGTCACCCCTGTTTCTGCTGGGGTATGGATACTTTCATCCCAAGGGTAGAGCAGAATTCTGCCAAAATATTCTAGCTTCCATCCTACAGATAATTAAAACATAAATGAAATACAGTTCTGTACCAGTCATATATTCTTTCTACTGCTCCTGGCAGTGGGTACATGTTGCTCTCCAAGAGTCAATTACATGTGTAATATGCCCATGGGTGTGGGGGTCTCTGGCCTAAGAAGGGATGGAGTACTAAC